GGCAGGGCAACCAGTTCCTGGGTTTACCATCATGGACACCGTCACCAGATACCCGGAAGCAGTTCCTCTCAGGAGGATTAATGCTCGCCTAATAGTGAGAGCATGATTAAGTTCTTCTCTCACTTTGGATTTCCAAGAGAAAATTCAATCGGATCAAGGGTCGAATTTTACCTCAAAATTTTTCCGTGAAGCCTTGGCTCAGTTAGGGGTCAAGACGGTTTTCGCGACGGCCTATCGACCCCAATCACAAGGCGTTTGGGGGGAAAGGTTCCATCAAACTTTGAAGATTATGATGAGGTCCTATTGTTTACAGTATTCCAAAGATTGGGATGAAGGTATTCCACTACTCTTGTTTGCCCTAAGAGAAAGCGAACAAGACAACTTGAAGTTTTCGCCATTGAAACTAATATATGGGCATCAAATTAGAGGACCAGTACAGGTTCTCAAGAAGCTTGGACCGGGGAAAAAAACGCCGACTTTTAGGAGCTTTCCTTCCTTTAAAGAAAGAACGCCTGAGCCTTGCTAGAGAATGGCCCCCCGAAAAACTTTACGACAAGCACAGAGTAAGATGGGAAAGGGGGAATACGATGTCGAACTAAACTTCGTTCATTTGAACCAAAAGATCAAGTTCTGGTTCAACGATTCATCAGGGACATGCTCTACGCCCCAAAATTTTAAGGTCCTTTAGAAATCGTTTAAGGCCTAAGTGAAAGTGAACTACTTGGTAAGGACGCCGAAGAAGAGGAAAATCACAACGGACGTATCACATTAACCAACTTAAAAAACCCCATTCAGGAATCGTTTCACCAGTTTCTACTATAACACCTCTGAACCAAGAACGGGTTCCAATAGTTCGGATGAAATGATAGGAAACCAGTTCTTCTGAACAATTCGACAGCCTTAAAGAAATTTAAATTCTCTTTCTGATAAATCTGGAAGTGGAAAAAAGGACACGAAATAAAATCCCTGATTAAGGCAAAAACTCCACCTATTCCAATGACGTCCCAAAACCGTGTACGTTGGGTGTGCACGATGTTACTCTCAGAGAAACCTACTCAATCAAGCAATCTCCCTACAGAGTGGTCCAGAAACAAAGGGGAGCTAGAGGCAAAGGGTGAACTTCTTACTCTCAACGGGTTGATTAAACCAAGTAACAGTCCTTGGCATCCCCGTGCATTTAGTCCCCAAACCAGATGGGACTTTCCCCTATGTGCAGGATTTTAGAAAAGTTTAATGCTGTAACAGTGCCTGATGGGTTTCAATACCCAGAATTGACCCACTTAATAGACAAGGTCTCGAGAGCTAAAGTATATCAGTAAATTGGACTTGTTAAGAGGGTATTACCAAGTCCCGTTGTCACCAAGAGCTCAAAAGAAAATCGGCTTTTTACGATACCCGGTGGCCATACAAATATTTCGTTATGCCCCTTTGGCTTCTGTAACGCGGGCCTCTACGTTTCAGCGTATTTTGAACATACTTACAGGCGGATTGGACGGAGTAGAAGCTTACTTAGACGACTTAGTCGTATACAGCGACAGTTGGCCCCAACACCTTAGACAGCTTAAAGCTTGTTTGACGCCTTAAGTAAACATAATTTTACAGTGAATTTGTCCAAGTGTGAGTTTTGGCAGACGAAAATTAAAACTTAGGATTTCGGATTGGACAAGGTGAAGTCGCTCCTTTGAACGCCAAAGTAAAGGCCCTCTTAGAATTTCCTACCCTAAGGATAGGAAAAGCGTTTCAAGATTTTTAGGAGGTTGCCGGTTACTACCGTCGGTTCTGTCCGAATTTTGCACAGGTAGCTTTTCCCCTAACTGAATTAACAAGTCCAAAAACAAAAATTTTCATGGACTCAGGACTGTGAAATTGCTTTTAATCGTTTAAAAAGATTACTATCCTCTTCCCCAGTATTGCTAAGTCCTGATTTTAATAAAACCCTTCCACTTACAAAAAGATGCCAGTGCGTATGCTTTGGGGGCCGCATTGTTACAGAAGGCTCCAAATTTGACCTATTACAACCTGTTTCTTATTTTTTTTTTTAAGTTAAAGAAAACCCAAATTAATTATTCAACTATAGAAAAAGAAGCCTTGCTCTCGTTGTATGCCTAGAGAATTTGATGTATTATTTAGGATCTTCTCCCCATCAGATTCGGTGTACTCCGATCATAATCCTTTGACCTTCATAAATTCTATGAAATCGAAGAACGCCAGAATACTTTCGTTGGGCTTTGAGAAAATCAACCCTTTTCTATTACATTTCCCATATAAAAGGAAAACATAATCTCATTGCTGATGCCCTCTCTAGGCCTTGAAAAATTTTTTTAAAATACATTTATTTTTAACAGTATGAGTCGGTACTTTTTTGGGCCATCTATGTTGTGGAGAAAGCTGGGATGATGTGGACTGCTGTCTATGTTACAAAACCCCGCTACTATGACAGATGCTACCACCCAGAGGTTTCAAGTCAATGGCGACCGTCAGTCACGAGGGGGAGGTGTTTACGCGCCCCTACTTCACTCCATTATATTCAAAATAAAAGGCCTGGTTAAAATAAGTTCTGTAATAATATATCGCGAACCCCTTTATTACTAGCTAGATAAAGCAGGTTCGACTATATATTATTATCGGGTACAGTATGAATCAAAAGTACTCTCATTGTATTATATTGTATATTATATCTTTCCCCATGATTAATTTTAACTATAATATTTTATTATATTATTATTAGGTTAGGTATTCGAATGTGTAACCACTACTGTAGTGACCAATTGGTGGTTCTGAATTGACGCCACGCGTGCCTTCTGGCAGAGCTGAAGTCTGACTATGAAGTAGTTGAGTGAGTTTAGTCAGCTCCTAGCTCGGCTCGGTACGGGTCTTCAACCCAAAGCTCCTAGCTTAAAACTAAAAACTTTATACAAAGGTTTGCCTTTGCCCTTAGTCTGGTAATTCATGTAACTTATAAAAGATAACTATTTCGTTTTCCCTGACCTTTCTAAAAAAGTAGATTATTAATTGAAATTATTTTATCATACTCTGTTAATGAGAATTTGAACTTAAGATTGGGTTTCTTGCTGTATAGTGTTTCATTTATAATTACTTGTGGTTATTTTAATTCACTAACCAAATACCAATGAAGCTAAATGATTGGTAATAAAATAAAGCTAACGAAAAAAATGGAGTTATTTGTGCCCCTATTGTTACGGTGAAGATTAAGTCGTAACACCCAGAACCTAACCTACTGTATAAGTGGGGGTAACCCAGAACCTAACCTACTGTATAAGTGGGAGTAGTCCAGAACCTAACCTACTGTATAAGTAAGGGTAGCCCAGAACCTAACCTACTGTATAAGCGAGGGTAGCCCGGAAGCTAACCTGCTGTATAAGCGAAGGTAGCCTGGAACCTAAGCTACTACATAAGTGAGGGTAGCCTGGAACCTAAGCTACTACATAAGTGAGGGTAGCCTGGAACCTAAGCTACTACATAAGTGAGGGTAGCCTGGAACCTAAGCTACTACATAAGTGAGGGTAGCCTGGAACCTAGCTACTACATAAGTAGGGTAGCCTGGAAACCAAAGCTACTACATTTAAGTGAGGGTAGCCTGGAACCTAAGCTACTACATCAGCAAGCAAGGGTAGCCTGGAACCTAAGCTACTACATAAGTGAGGGTAGCCTGGAACCTAAGCTACTACATAAGCAAGGGTAGCCTGGAACCTAAGTTACTGTATAAGTGGGGTCCTCCTGTTTATACATATTTAGGTTTTCACTGTTATTATTGCTTAGTTTATGGGCTTGGGATTTCAAGGTAATTTTTGGGGTACTGTATATTAGGGTAACTAGTGTGATGGTATTCTGGGAAAACTATTGTGATCTTCAGCACATATACCCTTCAGGGGTAAATGATGATAACCTTATTTCTACAATGTATGGCTTACAATTGATTCAGAGAAAGGTGACAATTATGACATACTTTATAGAAAGCCTCTGGTTATGAACATTTCAGATAACCTTAAAATAAACTAATAACTACCATTTGAATTTTTTGCAAATAATTTGTTGGAAGTTTCAGTAAAGCAATCTGCTATAATGTTTGTGGAGTTTATTACAAACAATAGTCAAATACAAATGTTAACTACTGATTTGCTATAAATTTCAGTATTACTACACAGGACATACAAAAACTTTAAGCCCACAGAATGCATGGTGTCATGGTGCTGGTGAGGTATTAATGATCGAAGAAATTGGAGCTACCCTCCCCTTCTTTGAATCAAACCTGATTACCAGTCATTCGTCAGGGGCTGTACAACCACTATGGGCTTAGCACTTCCCATGAATATAATGTTGTAATAATAATACTGTACCTAATGCTCAGTAATGTTAGCCAAAAAAATTATATGATCATTATCCTCTTCCCACTTTCAGTGGATGGGATTTGCAAGCATCTTTTATGTATATACATAAGATAGTGACCTGTACATACAGTTATGTCCAGTATAGTGACTGATCAAAAACTAGGCCATAGTTACAGGATGGAGGACTGAGCCTCCTCTTCTCCTTGTGCTGCATAACCCACATGAGTTTACTGAAGCATAAAAAACAATAATAATAATAAAAATAATAATAACAGTAGTAGTAATAATAATAATAATAATAATAATAATAATAATAATAAAAATAATAAAAGGTATACAGGCCTAACTGACATCAATGACATACTACTATATAGAAAGCTGCTTGTTATGCATAGCATTTCAGGCAAACTAGGTCAGTTTTGTCCCAGGATGCAACCCACACCAGCTGACTAACACTAAGGTACCCATTTTACTGGTGGGTGAACATAGACAACTGGTGTAAGAAAACACGTCCAATGTTTCCACCCCTTCTCTGGGAATAGAACAAGGACCCTCACCGTGTGAAGCAAGAGCTTTTGCCACCAGGCCACAGGGCACTAGTACATACAGAATATATTTACCCCACCAGTACATACAGTATAGTATACTTACCCCACATGGTCAGTGTATACCAAGCTACATATAGGTTATAGTTGAAGGTTCTTGCCGGTATTGTGAGTTGTGGCTTGTTCCATGAATCAAACACATACATGGTAGGGATAAACTCTATCAGTTCTCCAGTAGTAGAGTTGGCCAGGTAAAGTTGCCAGCGTTTTCTGTGAAGACATTCTCTTCTCAAAATTTATCATACAACATATGCAGAGCAGAAAATTAATAATTGTATAGCAAGGCTCAGGTTAGTACATGTGAGAGGAAGATTATTTTCCAATATAATTAGGCCTTAGACAGGGATGTAATGTCACCATGGTTGTTAAACATATTTATAGATGAGGTTGTAAAAGAAGTGAATGCTAGGGTTTTAGGGTGAGGTGTGAGATTAAAATATGCTGAATCTGATACAAAATGGGAATTGTCACAGTTACTTTTTTGGTGATGACATGGCTCTTGTGGGAGATTCTGAAGAGAGGTTGCAAAGACTAGTAAACAAATTTGGGAGGGTATGGAAAAGTATGAAAAGTATGAAAGTATAGTAGTACCAACACTCTTATATGGGTGTGAAGCTTGGGTGGTAAATGCAGCAGCGAGGAGACGGTTGGAGGCAGTGGAGATGTCCTGTTTGTTTAAGGGCAATGTGTGGTGTAAATATTATGCAGAAAATTCGGAGTGTGGAAATTAGGAAAAGGTGTGGAGTTAATAAAAGTATTAGTCAGAGGGCAGAAGAGGGGTTGTTGAGGTGGTTTGGTCATTTAGAGAAAAATGGATCAAAGTAGAAGACATGGAAAGCATATAAATCTATGGGGGAAAGGGAAGGCGGGGTAGGGGTCGTCCTCGAAAGGGTTGGAGAGAGGGGGTAAAGGAGGTTTTGTGGGTAAGGGGCTTGGACTTCCAGCAAACGTGCGTGAGCGTGTTAGATAGGAGTGAATGGAGACGAATGGTACTTGGGACCTAACGATCTGTTGGAGTGTGAGCAGGGTAATATTTAGTGAAGGGATTCAGGGAAACCGGTTATTTTCATATAGTCGGACTTGAGTCCTGGAAATGGGAAGTACAATGCCTGCACTTTAAAGGAGGGGTTTGGGATATTGGCAGTTTGGAGGGATATGTTGTGTATCTTTATATGTGTATGCTTCTAGACTGTTGTATTCTGAGCACCTCTGTGCTGATAATGTGCGAGTGTGGTGAAAGTGTTGAATGATGATGAAAGTATTTTCTTTTTGGGGATTTTCTTTCTTTTTTAGGTCACCCTGCCTTGGTGGGAGACAGCCGACTTGTTGAAAAAAAAAAAAATGGAAAAGAAGGAAATTAAAAGTGAACATAGGAAAAAGTAAGATAATGAGAGTACATATAAAAACAAATATAAGCAATGAGAGACTGGATATCAGATTCTAGGGAAGGAATATGGAGGAAGTAAACTTTTTATTTTTTTCAACACTTTGGCTGTCTCCCACTGAGGCAGGGTGACCCAAAAAAGAAAGAAAGATTTTTACTATCATTCATTCATGCAGAGACACTCAGATATGACAGTTCAGATGTCACTCCAAACAGGCAAATATCCCAAACCCCTCCTTTAAAGTGCAAGCACTATACTTTCCACCTCCAGGACTCAAGTCCAGCTAATTGGTTTCCCTGAATAACTTCGCAAAAATATTACCCTACTCACCCTGTTCATATATTTGGGAGTAGACTTGTTGGCTGATAGCTCTATGAGAGATGATGTGAACTATATAACTGACAAAGGAAAAAAGATGGGTTGTGCAGTGAGGCATCCATGGAGACAGAGTTTTATCCATATGATAAGATAAAGGCAAAAAGGGAAATGTGCCAGAGCATAGTGGTACCAACACTGTCGCATTGGTGTGAAATAAATCTATAACCTTGAATTTGACCTGCATTAATTTTTTTTTTCAACACATCGGTTGTCTCCCACCGAGGCAGGATGACCCAAAAAGAAAGAAAATACCCAAAAAGAAAATACTTTCATCATCATTCAACGCTTTCACCTCACTCATACATAATCACTGTCTTTGCAGAGGCATTCAGAAATTAAGATGTGACCTCTAGAAATCATCACTTCCCTGCAAAATACTGTATCAACACATTTACTGAACATTAGAGGCAAAGTGTTGTTGAAGGACTTCAATTTTTTTTGTTTTTTTCAACAAGTCAGCTATCTCCTACCGAGGCAGGGTGACCCAAAAAGAAAGAAAATCCCCAAAAAGGAAATACTTTCATCATCATTCAACACTTTCACCTCACTTTTCAATTATTACCAGCAAATAAAATAATCCAAAATAATGCTACAGAAACCCAACACACATTATGTTTGAATTATGAAGCAACCCAGTTAAGATATTGTTAAGATATTCTAGCAAAACCATTTTCTTTTCTCAAGGAAGTGCTACAATATGCTACTAGAACAACATACAGTGTCTAGAAAGAGAAAGCATAAACCTGAGATCAGAAAGAGATACAACTAAGAATTATCTGCATATAATTTAAAAGTAAATTGAGTGATGCATTGTTTTGGAAAATTATAACATACTGATCATCTCTCACCAAAGTAGAGTAACCCAAAAAAAGAGAAAATACTTTCACCATCATTCTTTCAATCATCTATCTTGCCAGATGCATGCTAACATCACAATTCAGATGGTCATCTGAATTGAAATATCCCCATCCCTCCTTCAGCGTGAAAGCACTGTACTTCCCACCTCCAGGACTCAAGTTTGCCTAATGAGCTTCCTTGTATTCCTTCATAAATATTACTCTGCTTACACTCATTTACTTCCACTTCTGTCTAATGAGCACACACAAGCCTGTTGGATGTTTAAGCTCAAAGCACTCAAAACCTTTAGTCTCTTCTTTAAACCTTGCCTGGGATGACCCCTACCCCTCCTTCACTATCCCACATTTATACACCCTTCTAGTTAAATAGTCTTCTTCATCCTCTCTAAATGTCCAAACATTCCCTCCTCAGCCCTCTGAATAATAATTTTGATCAAAGTTAAAGTCAATGATTTATTTCCACATGATACAATGTTTGTACATTGATTAGGTTAGGTTAGGTAAGGTTTGTCAGGAAACAGGACAAATGTTTCCTGACGTGGGTCTTAGTCAGATGATGACCCGCCTTTGAAGCTTTTGGTCATCTGACCGAGGCCTTCCGCTGGCTTACCGGTCCACCCCTTTAAAAATTATGGTCATTTATAACCATTGTTTAATAATACTTTGTACATTGATGAGTAACATTTGGTTGTGCATACAGAAAGCTCATGGTTATGTAGAACATTTCAGGCAAGCTTAAGCCAAACTTATGGCTGCAACAACAGTAATTATTATTTGCTTACATTTAAGGACATTAAATGTATACAAAACAAATTTGGTTTACAAAACCTTACTTCTAATCAACAAGCTCCAAATTGTCTGCATAATATTCATACCACACATTGCCCTCAAACACATCTATACCTCCAGCCTCCATCTTCAAATGTAATATGACTAAAAAAGTAGAAAAGTACATAAGTAACTGTGACCCAATTCTCAAACTTCAAATTCAAATCTATTTCCAATGTTTATTTGAATTTTATAATAAAATATAGCAGTCAGACTTTTTTTTTTTTTTCAACAAGTCGGCCGTCTCCCACCAAGGCAGGGTGACCCAAAAAAGAAAGAAAATACCCAAAAAGAAAACACTTTCACCTCACTCACACATAATCACTGTTTTTGCAGAGGCGCTCAAAATACAACAGTTTAGAAGCATATACGTATAAAGATACACAACATATCCTTCCAAACTGCCAATATTCCAAACCCATCCGTTAGAGTGCAGGCATTGTACTTCCCATTTCCAGGACTCAAGTCCAGCTATATAAAAATAACCAGTTTCCCTGAATCCCTTCACTAAATATTACCCTGCTCACACTCCAACAGCTCGTAAGGTCCCAAATACCATTCATCTCCATTCACTCCTATCTAACACGCTCACGCACGCTTGCTGGAAGTCCAAGCTCTTTGCCCACAAAACCTCCTTTACCCCCTCCCTCCAACCTTTTCGAGGATGACCCCTACCCCGCTTTCCTTCCCCTACAGATTTATACGATCTCCATGTCATTCTACTTTGATCCATTCTCTCTAAATGACCAAACCACCTCAACAACCCCTCTTCAGCCCTCTGACTAATACTTTTATTAACTCCACACCTTCTCCTAATTTCCACACTCCAAATTTTCTGCATAATATTCACACCACACACTGCCCTTAGACAGGACATCACTGGCTCCAAACGCCTCCTGGCTGCAGCATTTACAACCCAAGCTTCACACCCATATAAGTGTTGGTACTACTATACTTTCATACATTCCCTTCTTTGCCTCCATAGATAACATTTTTTGTCTCCACATATTCCTCAATGCACCACTCACCCTTTTTCCTTCATCAATTCTACGATTAACCTCATCCTTCATAAATCCATCTGCTGACACATCAACTCCCAAATATCTGAAAACATTCACTTCTTCCATACTCCTCCCCAATTTGATATCCAATTTTTCTTTATGTAAATCATTTGATACCCTCATCACCTTACTCTTTTCTATGTTCACCTTCCACTTTCTACCTTTACACACACTTCCAAACTCGTTTACTAACCTTTGCAATTTTTCTTTAGAATCTCCCATAAGCACAGTATTATCAGCAAAAAGTAACTGTGTCAATTCCCATTTTGTATTTGATTCCCCATAATTTAATCCTACCCCTCTCCTGAACACCATAGCATTTACTTCTTTTACAACCCCATCTATAAATATATTAAACAACCGTGATGACATTACACATCCCTAAGACCTACTTTTACTGAGAAGTAGTCTCCCTCTCTTCTACACACCCTAACCTGATTTATTTTTATTTATAAAAACTTACTTCTCCTGTATGAGTACAAATCAAGTAATACATAATTTTCTGAAGAGTTGTATGAAAAAACTGTAATCTTCATGCGATCTTCATTTTGCTCTACTTGTCAATGAGATGGAATGTGGCAAAAATACCTAAGAATAAACATTATCTTTATTATTCCCTTATTACAGTATCATTATCAACCTGTGTGCTCTCACTTTGTGTTGCTGGTGAGTTCGCAGTTGATGGTAGCAATGGTATTGAGGGTGTTATCAACGCTCTTGTAGAACTGTATAGGTATCTCAAAATTTGGGCTGCCCTGGTCAATATACATTAGAGGAGGCCTGCAGTGTATGTTGGTCACCAGGGTCATGATACGCTGTAAACAGCTGCTCATGGGGTTGAATGCATACATCGTCACATTGAACACATCATCCCATCTGTTGAAAATCAAAAATCATATCCATTACCTACTGAAAGTTAGGGATTAAACACAGCATGTACAGTATGTCACTGACTCAAGAAACTGTTATAACACAATTGCAACAAACCATGGAAAAGGCAAGCAAGTCGTAAAACTCCAGGCCATGAGTTCAAACCCCACCCGTTCCATGGTTAGTATGTCACTGGATAGGTTAGAGGGTCAACAATGTCATTATAAAACTGAAGTCAATAATGTCTTATAGGCTAGGGTAGGGGCTAACACTGTTAAAAAATAGGGCTCAAGGCTGTCATTATAAAAGATACAGATGAAGACAAAACTCTCTTAAAAGCTAAGCCCAACACAGACTGCAACAGGACACACAGACACAACACAAGGAATAAATACAGGGTATCTCTTTGACATACCACATGTTCAGCTTAACCTCTTCAGAAGTTCCATGCAAATTAAAGGCCCTAGAATGTAGAACTCATTAATGGAACAAGCAAAAAACATTCCAAATCTGCAAACTACTTCAAAACTTGTGCTATAAAAAACTACAGGAGGGCCCCATTAGTATGGCTCTTAGGTTCCTCACCCTGCATGCTAAGTGTAAATTGCCAGGGGGTGGAAAAGAGCAATATTTTCCATATCAAATGCATCTAAAATCCTTGATAGTGTTTACACAGTCATACATTAAGCACTCCATACAGCTAGGCCCTCTCCAGGTAAACTCCAGGTAAGTCAGCCATCTCATGCCTAGGCAGCATGACCCAAAACAAAGAAAATTTTTTACCATGATTCAACACTTTTGTTCTTCTTTTTGGGCTACCTTGCCTCGGTGGGAAACGGCTGATTTGTTGAAAGAAACAAGTGATTTTGAATAATTTACCAAACTGCGGCAGGCCAGGGCTCTTGAGGCGGGACAGTATGTCGTGGGGTCAAGCCCTGGCCTGCCACAGTTTGGTAAATACAGTGGAACCCCAAATTTCGGCTGCCCTGAGTATCAGCCGCTTCGAGTTTCGATCCCTTTTTTCGGCTAAATTTTGTCCTGCGTTCTGGCTGTTGCCCAGCGTTTTGGCCGGCATACCAGACCTGTCCACCTGCCCACCTCCCCGCGCAGGCGTCGTGAGCCAGTCTAGCTCTGTTTATCTTTGAGTGAACATTACCCTGCGCACTCATCCGAGCATTTCACAATAAATTCATTGTGTTTAGTGCTTGTTTATTGATTGTGCCAACATGGGTCAAAGAAACTTTATAGTGGCAGTGAGGCAGTGGTTAAGGTAGTGGTGGAAGCAGTGGTGGAGGCAGTGGTTGAGGCAGTTGAGGCAGTGGTTGAAGCAGTGGTGGAGGCAGTGGAGGCAGTGGTTGAGGCAGTGGTTGAGGCAGTGGTTGAGGCAGTGGTGGAGGCAGTGGTTGAGGCAGTGGTTGAGGAAGTGGTTGAGGAAGTGGTTGAGGCAGTGGTGGAGGCAGTGGTTGAGGCAGTGGTGGAGACAGTGGTGGAGGCAATAATAAGTCCTCCCACTCTCCTCCTCCCTACCTTCCAGATGCCAACAAGTCTTCAATAAAGGTACATAAATGTGATTTTAAATGTTTATTTAAATGTTACTTTATATATTGTATTACTCATTTAATATTATATGCATGTTTTAAGTACTATATATATGTTAAAAGAGGCAGTAGGTTGGTAGACAGCAACCGCCCAGGGATGTACCACCGTCCTGCCACGTAAGTGTAAACCAGAAGCCTGTAATTGTTTTACATGATGGAAGGATTGCTGGTGTCTTTTTTTTCTGTCTCATACACATGCAAGATTTCAGGTATGTCTTGCTACTTCTACTTACACTTAGGTCACACTACACATACATGTACAAGCATATATATACACACCCCTCCGGGTTTTCTTCTATTTTCTTTCTGGTTCATGTTCTTGTTTATTTTCTCTTATCTCCATGGGGAAGTAGAATAGAACTCTTCCTCCGTAAGCCATGCGTGTTGTAAGAGGCTACTAAAATGCCGGGAGCAAGGGACTAGTAACCCCTTCTCCCGTATAAATTACTAAATTTAAAAAGAGAAACTTTCGTTTTTCTTTTTGGGCCATCCTGCCTTGGTGGGATACGGCCGGTTTGTTGAAAAAAAAAAAAATGTTAAAAGAGGTAGTAGGTTGGTAGACAGCAACCGCCCAGGGAGGTACCACCGTCCTGCCAAGTGAGTGAAAACGAAAGCCTGTAATTGTTTTACACGATGGAAGGATTGCTGGTGTCTTTTTTTTCTGTCTCATACACATGCAAGATTTCAGGTACGTCTTGCTACTTCTATTTTACAGTTAGGTCATGCTACACATACATGTACAAGCATATACAGTGGACCCTCGACCAACGATGGCATCGTCTAATGTTAAATCCGACTAGCGATACATTTTAACGCAAAAATTTTGCCTCGACTAGCGCTAAAAAACTCGACCAACATGATTCGTTCCGTTCAAGATGCGTCCACTTGTGGCCAGTGTTTACAAGCCAGGCAGCCACCGCAGTCCCATCCAAACATACAATCGGAACATTTCATATTATCACAGCGTTTTTAGTGATTTCACCTGCAAAATAAGTCACCATGGGCCCCAAGAAAGCTTCTAGTGCCAACCCTACAGCAAAAAGGGTGAGAATTACTATGGATATGAAGAAAGAGATTATTGCTAAGTATGAAAGTGGAGTGTGTGTCTCCGAGCTGGCCAGGTTGTACACAAAACCCCAATCAACCATCGCTACTATTGTGGCCAAGAAAACGGCAATCAAGGAAGCTGTTCTTGCCAAAGGTGCAACTTTGTTTTCGAAACTGAGATCGCAGGTGATAGAAGATGTTGAGAGACTGTTATTGGTGTGGATAAACGAAAAACAGATAGCAGGAGATAGCATCTCTCAAGCGATCATACGTGAAAAGGCTAGGAAGTTGCACGACGATTTAATTAGAAGAATGCCTGCAACTATTGGTGATATGAGTGAATTTAAGGCCACCAAAGATTGGTTTGAGAGATTTAAGAATCGTAGTGGCATACATAGTGTGATAAGGCATGGTGAGGCTGCCAGTTCGGCCCAAAAAGCAGCTGAAAAATATGTGCAGGAATTCAAGGGGTACATAGACAGTGAAGAATTGAAACCTGAACAAGTGTTTAATTGTGACACTGACAATGTTGTGAAACACTTTAGGAATGTCATAAAGGAACGGGAGGTACAGGCCTCTATGGACAAATATGTTGTGCGACAGAGGTCCAGTGACTCTCAAGCTGGTCCTAGTGGCATTAATAGAAGAAAGGAAGTAACCCCTGAAAAGGACTTGACATCTCAAGTCCTAATGGAAGGGGATTCCCCTTCTAAACACTAACACTATCCACACTCTCCCCTCCTCCCATCCCATCAATCATCACCAGATCTTCAATAAAGGTAACTGTCATGTAATTGTACATGTCTTCTTCAGTTTGTGTGTATTAAAATTAATATTTCATGTGGTAAAATTTTTTTTTCAATACTTTTGGGTGTCTTGCACGGATTAATTTGATTTCCATTATTTCTTATGGGGAAAATTACCTCGACTAACGATAATTTCGATTAACGATGAGCTCTCAGGAACAGATTAATATCATTGGTCAAGAGTTCACTGTACTGTATATACACACCCCTCGGGGTTTTCTTCTATTTTCTTTCTAGTTCTTGTTCTTGTTTATTTCCTCTTACCTCCATGGGGAAGTGGAACAGAATTCTTCCTCCGGAAGCCATGCGTGTTGTAAGAGGCGACTAAAATGACGGGACCAAGGGGCTAGTAACCCCTTCTCCTGTATATACTGTACTACTAAATGTAAAAGGAGAAACTTTCGTTTTTCCTTTTGGGCCACCCCGCCTCGGTGGGATACAGCCGGTGTGTTGAAAGAAAGAAAGACGTATGTTAAACTATAGTTTTTCTTTAAAAAAAAATTATTTTTTGTGAAAATTTTTGTGGGTCTGGAACAGATTAATTGTATTTCCATTATTTCTTATGAGAAATATTGCTTCGACTTTCAGCTGTTTTCAGATTAGGCCTAGCTCCTGGAACGGATTACAGCCGAAACTCGGGGTTACCCTACACATACACATATACATTCTTTTTTTTCAACAAGTCGGCCGTCTCCCACCTAGGCAGGGTGACCTAAAAAGAAAAAATCCCCAAAATGAAAATACTTTCAACATCACATCATTTAACACTTTCACCTCACTCATACATAATCACTGTTTTTGCAGAGGCACCCAGATACAACAGTTTAGAAGCATATATAAAGATACAATATAAAAAGTGACCTGAAATAATTACAATATAAGGGCCCCAATTATATATATTATATTATATTATTATATAGGAGGAGTATGGAAGAAGTGAATGTTTTCAGATACTTGGGAGTTGACGTGTTGGCGGATGGATTTATGAAGGATGAGGTTAATCATAGAATTGATGAGGGAAAAAAGGTGAGTGGAGCGTTGAGGTATATGTGGAGTCAAAAAACGTTATCTATGGAGGCAAAGAAGGGAATGTATGAAAGTATAGTAGTACCAACACTCTTATATGGGTGTGAAGCTTGGGTGGTAAATGCAGCAGCGAGGAGACGGTTGGAGGCAGTGGAGATGTCCTGTTTAAGGGCAATGTGTGATGTAAATATTATGCAGAAAATTCGGAGTGTGGAAATTAGGAGAAGGTGTGGAGTTAATAAAAGTATTAGTCAGAGGGCAGAAGAGGGGTTTGTTGAGGTGGTTTGGTCATTTAGAGAGAATGGATCAAAGTAGAATGACATGGAAAGCATATAAATCTATAGGGGAAGGAAGGCGGGGTAGGGGTCGTCCTCGAAAGGGTTGGAGAGAGGGGGTAAAGGAGGTTTTGTGGGTAAGGGCTTGGACTTCCAGCAAGCGTGCGTGAGCGTGTTAGATAGGAGTGAATGGAGACGAATGGTACTTGGGACCTGACGATCTGTTGGAGTGTGAGCAGGGTAATATTTAGTGA